CCTGGGAATATCCACCAGCAGACCATGATCTGTCACCTCTGCACGCTGATGCTATCCCTGTGCAGCTCTGGAAAACCACAAAGCGATCTGCTTTCTGACAGAGTGACTTTTTGCAGTTGCTTAATTAAGGTGGTTTTAGTTGGAAGGAGATCACTGTATCTTTGATTTGTATTTTTTCATTTTCTGATTTTCTGACAGAGGTAACCTTTGAAGATCTGCCAGGCTTTCTTAAATAAAAAAAAAAAACAACAAACTGTAAAATCAGATCAGCCTAAGTCTCTGTATCGATCTCCACAGTTACTCTTTATACTTCTGCTATTCATGTGCAAATACAGCAGAAGGCTTTAGTTATCTCTGCTAACTCATCTCCTGCTCCCAGCTACAAAACAGGGTCTGCTTGCACACCCAGAGCAGCACAGCACTGCAACTTTTCTGCAGTTCCCAATTCTACTTAACAGATTAAAGGAGCTGAGAACATGACAACACACAGGTTTGACAGAAGAGTGGAAACTAAGGTTGAAGTGTCTGTCTGAAACCAGGCAACAGGTTCATACTGGCTGCATAACATTTTTCCATTTCTAAGTGTTGTAATTTCCCCTGTGAGCTCACTCGGGGTTAGCTTAATATTATTGACACAAATCAAAATCAGAAAAAATATTGCAGCAGCTGAACATGATCTGAATTAAAATTGTACTTGTGATAACAGGATCTCTTGGATTGTTTGCAGATTGTGCAGTAGAAAGCAAAGCTTGTCCAAAAGCAACAGCAAAAACTTTTATAGGCATGCGACTCTGACTCCCTTGGGCAATGAACAACCAAATGATGTTAACTCCCCCTTCCCCCAAATTTTTAAAATTAAACTCTTCTGCAACTATCAACAATATCAGGGTTTCTACTGCACCAAGACATGTTGCTGTCACACCAATGGTGTACTGGTTAATTGTGCCAGTACAATATGAACTGTCACTTGCAGTAGCTTACACATAGGGCTGCAAATGCCAATACCAACACTACTATTATTATGGCCAACTATCAGCTAAAGCAACCCTTTTAACCTAGAAAAGAAGCAAGGAAAAAAAATAATCACATGTGAAATTTATTATTAATGAAAAATACAGAAGGAAAACTAATTGAGGAAAAAAAGATCTAAGTAGCTAAAACAACTGCAAAATACTGAAAAAAAAAAGTAGAAAGAGAACAGCTGGCCTATGTAACTGAACTATTCTGGCTCTTCTTCCAGAACCCGTGGAAATCCATGAACCAACACCATGCTTGGTCCTGTATCTGCAGCTGCTGATGAACAGCATTTAGTCATGGTCCAACGCTCTACTCTCAACTAAGAGAATTCTTATTACAATTAAATTAAAAATTACAAAATGCCATGCTGAAATAAACATCGGAGAACAAATTAATGTAAAATACACATTAAAACGTCGCCCCAAATCATTGTATTGTTTATTTGTGGAATGCTTGCAATTGTTTTTTAAGGGAGTCATAAAAATTCCTCACTCACCAGGACTCCATTCATGAGGGCAATGAATTTCCAGAGGACCTGATTTTTTATACAACTCAAGAGAAATATTTTTGGATACAAATTAAAAAAAAAAAAAAGTTTTGAAACTAATAGTTTTATTCCTTAAACTGAGCAGAAACTTGCCTGAAACATAAACAATGAAAACTGAAAAAAAATAAAGACCACAAGTCTTGTAAGCTAAATACAATACCCATTGTCTGGACTTCCTTATTTCCATGAAGAACATCTGATTTTCATTTTGAATTAGAACATTCAGCTAAAATTACTAATATAGTGGGATTCAATTTAATTTAATTGCAAAATTTCAAGGAGAACAACTTTAGCTATGATCTGATCGCTGTTCCATAACCGAATTCACATTCTAACTCTGGAAACAGCAATTCTAATCTAATGTTGAATCCTAGCTGAACAAGGTTTTGATGATCTCACAGTGAACAGTAGTTCTCATCAGAAAAAACAGCACATAAAACTCGGATCAACTGGCAGCTTTTGTCACTGCTTAGCCAGGGAAAATTTGGCTAGCGGCTCGCTATCTTTGCAATTCCAAGAACTTCCAGTATTTTTCTGTGAAGAGATACTCACGTGCCAGAGATAAAAGCTAGACTTAATACAGGCTCAAGTCAATGGTGAGAACAACACTGTCAAACTTCTCGCTGGTATTTCACTTACTTGGCTGTTCTGCCCAGAGTGTAGCAACAGACAGGGATCTGGGCTGAACGCGTGAACAGGCCGCAACGGGGGGCTCCTCCTGCCCGACTGCATGCGTGGGGGTGAAAATATATATATATGTGTATATGTGCAAATTGTTAGGAAAAACAACATGCTCAGGCTCTTAGAAGAACAAAACCCAAGACACTGACAACAGTTTTAATAAAGAAACCCTAACTGCAATACAACAGATTCAGTCCAGGTTTTTCATGTGCTTTACTCTTTTCACAGAATTGTGGTAAAATGATATCATTATTTAGGAGAGAAAGACAAAATAGTAAAAAAGAAACCTGCAATAAAATGTATAGACAGCCCAAACAGAGAAGGCTGACAGAAAATGTATGAGCCAGAAACAGAGGGACTGACTCACACTGCAACTCACTCCTAGACCACATGTGAGGGCAGACACGGCTATTTTGGACAATGCAAACAAAACATTTAAAGGAAAACACAGAGGGTGCTCCGTATCTAAGGCAGTACGTCGTTATGCACACAGCCTGCCTTTTGCTTTAGGAACCCATGAAGTTATGTTAGATCAAATACAAGTCTTAGGCTGGGAGAAGCAAGATAAGGCAGAAAGAAAAAGGGGGGGGGAGCCTTTTCTCTATGAACATTAGTGTATAAAATTTAACTTTTGATTTTAAATTGTCAATTTTATAAACTAACAGGACTTAGCAACAAATGAATATTAGAAAAATGCTCTAGGCAGAAGCTGTCCCAAAGGTGAGGAAGGTTGCTGGGTTGCTGATGAGGGGCAAGGAGCTGAAGGAGTATTTCCCCTCGGAGACTGCTGAATTACACCCGGTACTTAACAGTCAGGAAAAACTGGTACTTGCAATTTCTGATTGCTCAATGAGAATACAAGTATTGGAAGATGCATGTTTGTACAAGAATGGGAAATCAACCTGTGTTTCAGACTACTAAATTGACTTTATAGGTTCAAGAAAAAGCAAAAGTATAAACACTGAGGCAAGGCAATTTTCTCGTGAATCCAGAAAGCAGCATACTTGGCATCTCAAACACCCAGTAAATGAAAAAAACAAATGAAATACCAACACAGTATTTGATCCTAATCTTAAGTCTTGGCCTTTGTAAAGACAAAGAATAAATATTTAAATATAAACCAAAATAAATTTAAATATAAACCAGTAAACAGCTTCACAGTAACTACTAACGTAATTCACTGAAGTTGTCAAGCACTTGTTGAAAATCAAAGTGTTTGTGATCATAAGCAGAATAAACGTCACATTGTCCATGTTAATGTGAAAGAAGAAAACATGGAAGAAAAATTCTGATTTCTTTTTAACATGACAAGGAAAATAACTAAGGAAAATAGCAAAGAAAGCCATTTGTGAACAAAATTTTTGTATGGCATTCTGACAGAAAATCAAGTTCCCTATTAAAAAGTAAATTGTTTAGAAGCATTTCTGAGCCAACTTATTGGTTATTACAATAACAAAATAATACAAATATAATAGGAATCTAGAACTGTGTTTTTTCAGGGAGTTTACCACTGAATACATAAAGCAGTTTTGTAAACCTGGAAGTTGAAAAGATGAACGTTTTAAATTCAAATCATGCTGGTGGCCACTTAAAATAAAACATACAGATGTTCAAATCCAAAGCTAATGCTGAGGGGAGTGAATCAAACAGAGAAATTAATCTATGACAGGACATGAGAAAAAAAGTGTTATGATATAGTTAAACGCACAGTTAACAACAGATGGGACTGAAGTAAGTCAATGAAAAAGCATAATTTCATCGCTGAAATGAAAGTGATGATACATCTTGAAAAACTAAAGCAATACTGAGAAAATTAAAAAAATAACCAGAGTGGAAGGTTTAAACAAAGCTATATTGGAATAGGACTTTGGCATTTTATAGTAAACTGGAAAAACACAATAGAAGGATGAGACACTTTGAATACTTAAAAGAAAACACTTGTGGCCCATGAATGAAATAGTTCCATCTCCCAACAACAACAAAATTGTCACAGTAAAAGGGAAACCAGGAAAGTATTTAAGAAAAAAAAAAAATAATAGTGGTTTACATAGTAACAACATCTGTGACTATGTCAATATAAGCACAAGGGAGAGAAAAAGAGCTTAGTCCAAACAGTTTTAAAAATACCTTTGGGTGGGATACACTGAGAAAAATTAGCTGAAAGCTTGCAAGACATGATAAATTCCAGCTGTTGGTCTTTGTGGACTAACAGATTTTTTCTACTTGCCACTAACATATAATATTGGCAGGAGACCATTTCTGTTCTTCCCTGTCCTCCATCTCCAAAAACATACAGAGAAAATACACTGTCCTTAAGGTTTTGACTCCTTGATGCCTTGTATATCGTGAAGCAAGAAATGAGAAGTTAATATATTCAATGCAATTTGGAGCGTAGGTTTTGCAAGTCACCATGCAAAATCCCAGACCAGCAAATGTTCCCCACATGGCTGCCTCTGCAGACACTTTGCTCCCTGAGCGTTAAGGTGTATGAACTTCCACCGAGAGCAGCATCAGGGCTGGCCAGGTGGGTTGGCTGTTTTTTTCGGTGCAGGGCTTGCCCAGTGCAGGATGACCATGCTCTGTGCTCCTCTACCTGCTTACATTTACTGTCACTGCAAACACACAACGCGGCGGTGCGACTCAAACGCACTGCACCACAGAGTGTAGCAGACTTTTCAAAACAGTTGCTTGGGCAGATTGTGACCGAGAGCACACCGTCTTCTCATTATATAAAACAAACAAACAAAAACCTTACCAAAAATTCCCCAACAACTCACAAATAGGATACCATGACCAGGACTTGATCCATTGCTTTCAAACACTCTGGCATATATTAAGCATGGCACCTGAAAAAACGACACAATATTTATCTGCGTTCCTTTTTACTCTCTCTCTTTGCTCTATCAGTCCAGGGATTCGCTCCGCTGCTATAAAACCTAACATTTCCAGAGGAACAAAAGACAACATGTACTACATCTGTAGACTTGATTCGGCAGGGGAATGTTTTAATAATTCTGAGAGATTAATTTAGTAATCAGACACTATCTGAAAAAACAAACAAAAAAACCCACCTGATCAAGGAATAAGTTACATGAGAAATCTGTGCTGACTTCTGATGTAGCTTTGTCCTAATTGCAAATTTAAAAAGCCCGGGAAAGAAATTCTCCAGTTTGCTGAAATCCAATCTCCTACTGGATTTCATCCAGGTCTATACCTCAAAGGCAAAAGGGACTTAGTCATAGTTTTACAGAAGTGAATTCCTGAGTCACATTACAGGGCAAATGGAACTGCAAAACAATTTCTGCCATTAAATATCTTCCTTTTATAGTCTTGCCTGTAAGAAACAAATGCAGTAAGTCTACTTCAGAGTTGGAAAGCCTTTCATCATTGGTTACTGCTCGTTTCTCATTCAGATTTACTAACACTGACATTAATACATGCCACGCCAACTCTGCATCGTGGTAACAAGAGCAAATGATGACTGCTCTACTAAATTTAACATCAGAATAAATAATTTGTAATTAACCAGATGTTAAAATAATAACCGTTTTGAAACATCTCGGCAGTACTGCAGACTTCGTACACTGGAATGGGATGCAGCTGTCTGCAACAAGTTACTGTATGTCGCACTAGTCTCTGGGCTGGGTTAATGAAGCTATTTTAAAATACAGCCAATTTTGTGCAGCTGAGATTAATGGAGCGATCAAACTGACATGATATGCATTCACTGAACTCTTACTCACACAAACGGGGACCTTGCGGCAACCCAGCACACAGCAGTGCCACGAGGAATTTACATTTCATTGTCCCTTCTAATTACACTAACACTGTGACTAAATTTTGGAGATGCTGCAGAAAAAGCCAACATTAAGCCCTTTGTTTCAAAAGCCACATTTTCCCACTTCCTCTTTGCCTGAGGCTTGCAAACCCTGTTCCCTGTCCCTCTTAATCTCCAAACATTTACAACTAACTCAGTCAGCCTACCTAGTCTTTCAGCAAGCCCCAGACCTCTTTCACACAGCTGTCAATCCCTTTTTCTGTCCCCAGGACAGCACAGCTTAAATTTTCAGTGGTCCTCCATCCTGGTCTCGCTTAGACACAGGCAGCCAGCACACCAACATCGCCCCTCACATCCTCACCCCTCTGCAGACGGTGACTGCTCTCACCAGCTTTTGCCCCAAGACTCAGACCACAAAGACCTCTGCCAGGAGGTCACCACACCATTTCTTCTCTCACATGCCCTACAATAAGTCAGTTCAGACATGTTCTTAAATTGATGCCTTGCTCATGGCAATTCTCAAGCACATCAGAGAACCACAGAATCCTTTAGGATGGAAAAGACCTTTAAGGTTACCCAGTCCAACCATCCTAACACTACCATGTCCCAGCACCAAACCACGTCCCGTAGTGCCACCTCCACACGTCTCTGCAATACCTCCAGGTCTGGGGACTCCAGCACTGCCCTGGGCAGCCCGTTGCTGGCCTCACAGCCCCTTCTGTGCAGAAATTGGTCCCGATACCCTGTCTAAACCTCCCCTGGCACAACTTTGGCACTGTTTCTTCAAGTCTTACCAGACACAGTGTTACTCCATTTATAAAGTATATTGTTTTCATTTGTCTGTGCAAATGCTGAATTTATTACTTTCTGTATGTATCTGGCAATTTTGAGGCTTAAAGAATACTACAGTAAAATTCATCATCTGCTCAGCATCAGCTAAAGGCTGTCAAACCTGCTGATTCATTTCATCAGCATTTATTGTGCTTCATTAATTCTAAATCTAAACATTTTCAACAAAATAATGAAGTTATATATAACTCAAAGCAGCAGCACTTATAAATCCTTCAAGCCTTTGGCAACTTCTTTAATCCAGAGTAATCATGTTTCCTTGTATAACAAGTCTTGTGATGTCTGTAATAGCATCTCGCTGCAGTAACAACAGTATTAATGGTATAGCTCTCTTGCATGCCTGAAGTATTAATCAGATCCCTTACTTAAATACAAAATTAGAGTAGTCTTGATACTCTTTTTGAAACAGATACAATGAGTCCCACAGGAAATTAAGAAAAAAAAAAAAGTATGATGAAGATCTAGACAAAGTTGTTTTTGATACTAAAATAAAAGATTGCAACTTTCTGAGTACTGTTTTAATCTCTTACCTCATCTCTTCAAATTAAAATTATATTTGTAAATAGGCAGTCTGTTCTATAACCAATTTTCTCTGGGACATAAGTTGTTTGCTTTGCTTTTGCACAAAAGAGAGCAAAGAAAATCTCAAAATCAGAACAAAGGATAGCAGATTTTATGCTAGAGCTGGTGAACATCACTCTCCTCTGAAAGCAAAACATTCAGCAGTCACAATATTCATTCTATTTATACATTTCTTGATGAAAACAAACTTTCCTCTTTCGTAAGTAAGCTTAAATCCTTGCAATTTTCCAAACACAATAACCTTTCTCCGGTATTGTCTTAAGAGCTGATGCAACATCTTCCACCAGCTATTACTTACAAGATGAAGATGTGCTACATTATAAAGTGACTTTTTTAATGACCATCCTTGTTTGAGTTACCTTTCTTAGTGGAACAATTACGTTTGTGACCTTTATGCCTCCATTTAAATAAAAAAAACCAGCTAGTATTACCTCATTTCCCACTCAAAATCCCTCACAACCATCTCCAATTTCCACTGTCTAAAAAGAAAAGTCACTGTCAGCTCCTTGAACCTTATCAACACCTTTCAGCTATAACCAAGATTTTATTGTTACTTTAGCAAGAATGAGGAATGAGTAATTAAAAAGTCATCTACAAGCATGAATTTATGTATTAAGCACACATTAACCAATATTAAATTACATACTAAATGGATTAAACAATTTGATCCAATTTCTAACCTCTTGATTAAATCCAGAGAAAAGAAGTATCAAAAACGTAGCCCCAACCAACCCAACAAAACCAACACCAACCAAGAAAAGCAACATTTAAAGGATTTCATTACCCCTCTAAAAAGGTTGAGCTTGCGTTTCACAGTTTGGACTCACTCCAAAGGCTGTCCCCAGATAATCCACCCCTTTCTTCCAGCAACCAAAGACAGCTGGAGAAGTTGATGACCATAGCAAGACCTATGCATGCTGCTGTCATGAGCGCATGCTAGCGCAGTTGGACAAACTTAGTGAGTCTATGTCATTCGGTATAAAATTCTCCCATAGGGCATGACAGTTACATTGTGCCATCAGAGCAATTTGAAGTATTACAAAAACAACTAGAAAGCCTACAACCACGGCTGTTCTTCGTACTGCCACAACTGCCTATGATGCTGAAGTTAAAATAGACTGCTCAGCAGCCACTCACATATGAAAGCAACAACAGATGCTTTTCAATTCTTTACCTGAATGAATTTTCATCATTTAACTTCCACATTTCTTTTTAGTATTTCTTATAGTGAGCAAAAGTCATGCAACGAGGCTTCCTTTGGAGGCTGGAAATAACATCTTATTTTGCATTTGCCCCTTCTTTGTCCACTATCCTTTTTTGATGTTACTGAGAATTAAAAATGAAGCCTCTATATAATGTGTGTCATCTTCTGAAAACAAGTACAAGATTTACAATAAGAAAAAATTGTTACATATAAAGTTATATGCCTGTGAAGAAAGACAGAAAACTAATTTCAGTGATTGGTATACTCTACCATCCAACTCTGGTCTTTCAAAATGCAAGTACAGTAATCATAGGTACAGCATAATATCACCACTAGCTTGGCATGCACCATGTGCAGCATGAGGCAGATCCAGAGATCGGTAGGTATAAATCACTCACCCAGGAAGAAAAAAGGCTATGCAGTTGCCAACTAAGACAATTAATATGAAAGGCATGTTTTTACAAGGGCTATTCGAAGAAATAGTATTTGTGGGAAGAATGAGTCATAGCAAACTTCATATACTATACTTACTCAAAGTAAGAAGACAAAGGGAATTAGAACTTAGATTTTTTTTTTAAACCAAGAAACATTAGCGAAAACAGCTGCTGCACTGTAATAATGTTAAATAGCTCTGTTATGGCTTCATATTCTCTTCCAGTAGTAGTTTTCTCTCTTTTTAACTTTCATTTTGGGTTTGCTATTGTTGGCACGCTGTTTCAGTAGACACTTAGATAAATAAACATTTCAACAACATAGACCCTTTCAAAATGGTATCTCTTAACCCCTCTGTCCCTTGAGAGGTTGAAAAATAATGGCTATATACTTCACAGGTTTATTTCTGCATCCCTTCTCTATTTCTCCGACTTCTCTTTCTATTTCAGCTGCAGAAAAATAAATAAGCATCTTAGATGTTACCTCCATCTAAGTAACAGTTTGTATCATTACCTACGTATTTTTTACATTTCCTGATTAGCCCACATGATTTCACACAACTTAAAAACGAACATTTTTAATGCCTCTTCCTGAGGTCAGATGCTGACTTCCATTTTCCAGGAGAGGACATTTCTCCAGTTTGCACCTAAATCAACCTGACTGAAGTCACTGCTAAGAAAAACTTGATCACTGAAGTGATCTGTATCTTCTCAGGCATGAAATGACTAATCCTTGAATCAAGTCTGGGTTTTAACTATGGAACTGCTTATATATTTTTGTCCCAGCTAAGCTATCAGGTGGGCTCTCCAGGACTCCAGCCAATTCCATAAACACAAAACAAGTACTGCTGCAAAGCAAATTTCAGCTGGAAGCCAAGTTACGTGTTCACGAAGAAGAGATTGTAAAAAAGAAACTTCACTAGAACCTGAACTAGAATACAGGAAAGGAAATATCAGCATTCTGTAGAGATACTCATTAAAGGGTAAACAACAGGAAACTAT